ATCAAAGATGACTTGCGGGAGGAGAAAAACGTTACTGTTTTTTTTTGGCAGTAAGGAGTGACAAAATAACCATAACATTTCACATAGACCGGAAGGCATATTACTAAATGAGAGTTCCAAAGAATGCAACTCATGATTGCATCACAACTTTTTTGCACAGATCTGTGCTTTGTTCACCCTTTGTCTCCTGCGCCACATGTACAGTGCTTTCAGAAAGTATTCACAACCCTTTACTTTTTCCACATTTTGTTGTGTTACAGCCTCATTTTAAAATGGATTAAATTGAGATTGTGTCACTAGCCTATACACAATAACCCATCATGTCAAAGTGGAATTATGTTTTTCTACATTTTTACAAATTATTTAAAAATGAAAAGCTGAAATGTCTTCAGTCAATAAGTATTCAACCCCTTTGTTATGGCAAGCCTAAATAAGTTCAGGAGTAAATATTTGCTTAACAAGTCACATAATAAGTTGCATGGACTCACTCTGTGCAATAATAGTGTTTAACATGATTTTTGAATACCTCATCTCTGTACTCCATACATACAATTATCTGTAAGGTCCCTCAGTCAAGCAGTGAATTTCAAACACATATTCAACCACAAAGACCAGGGAGGCTTTCCAATGCCTCGCAAAGAAGGACACCTAAAGCAGATGTTAAATATCCCTTTGAGCATGGTGAAGTTATTAATAAAAAAAAAAAATTACACTTTGGATTGTGTATCAATACACCCAGTCACTACAAAGATACAGGTGTCCTTCCTAACTCAGTTGCCGGAGAGGAAGGAAACCGCTCAGGGATTTCACCATGAGGCCAATGGTGACTATAAAAACAGTTACAGAGTTTAATGGCTGTGATAAGAGAAAACTGAGGATGGATCAACAACATTGTAGTTACTCCATAATACTAACCTAAATGACAGAGTGAAAAGAAGGAAGCCTGTACAGATTAAAACAATCCAAAACATGCATCCTGTTTGCAATTAGGCACTAAAGTAAAACTGCAAAAAATGTGGGTAAGAAATGAACTTTATGTCCTCAATACAAAGCATTATGTTTGGGGCAAATCCAACACAACACATCACTGAGTACCACTTCATATTTTCAAGCATGGTGGTGGCTGCATCATGTTATGAGTATGCTTGTCATCGGCAAGGACTAGGGAGTTTTTTTAGGATAAAAAGAAACGGAATAGAGCTAAGCAAAGGCAAAATCCTTGAGGAAAACCTGGTTCAGTCTGCTTTCCAACAGACACTGGGAGACAAATTCACCTTTCAGCAGGACAAAACTAAAACACAAGGCCAAATATACACTGGAGTTGCTTACCAAGATGATACTGAATGTTCCTGAGTGGCCTAGTTACAGTTTTGACTTAAATTGGCTTAAATCTATGGCAAGACATGTCTAGCAATGATCAATCACCAACTTAACAGCGCTTGAATAATTTTTTTTATAATAATTGTGCAAATGTTGCACAATCCAGGTGTGCAAAGCTCTTAGAGATTTACCCAGAAAGACTCACAGCTGTAATCGCTGCCAAACGTGATTCTAACATGTATTGACTCAGGGGTGTGAATACCTATGTAACTGAGATATTTCTGTATTTCTTTTTTTAAAATACATTTGCAGAAATGACTTTGTCATTATGGGGTATTGTGGTCGATTGATAAAAAAATACAATATGTAATCCATTTTGAATTCACACTAACAAAACAAAATGTGAAGTAAGTCAAGGGGTATGAATATTTTCTGAAGGCACAAAATCCTCAGTAGGCGTGTATTAAAATCTCAGTAGGCCCGTTCACACTGCACATTAGCCCAGGGCTAAAGGGTTTATCATAGTCCAAAAAACATGTACTCGTACACACAGCAGCATTCTGGAATATCATTTTACATTTACATTTTAGTCATTTAGCAGACGCTCTTATCCAGAGCGACTTACAGTTAGTGAGTGCATACTTTTCATTTTTATTTATTTTTTCATACTGGCCCCCCGTGGGAATTGAACCCAAAACCCTGGTGTTGCAAACACCATGCTCTACCAACTGAGCTACATCCCTGCTGGCCATTCCCTCCCCTACCCTGGACGACACTGGGCCAATTGTGCGCCGCCCCATGGGTCTCCCGGTCGCGGCCGGCTACGACAGAGCCTGGAATATTGTACCATTGGCTTTCATACTATTCGAATTGTCAGTGCAGCTCAAGCAATTTCTCAAATTTCTGTCAACACATTCAAATGAATAGAGGATGCGTACTGGAGACGACTATCGCGTCTCAGGACTATGATTTACACTTAAGAGCCTCCTTAGCCCTGCCCTTATGAAAAAAGATTGCAGTCAGAGTGCAGTATAACTGCAGTATACAACTGCATTATGCTGCAAATTCTGCGTCCAAGAGAAAGAAAATACACTACCGGTCAAAGGTTTTACAACACCTACTCATTCAAGGGGTTTTTCTTTATTTTTACTATTTTCTACATTGTAGAATAATAGTGAAGACATCAAAACTATGAAATAACAGATATGGAATCATGTAGTAACCCAAAAAGTGTTAAACAAGTCAAAATATATTTTGCCTTGATGACAGCTTTGCACAGTCTTGGCATTCTCTCAACCAGCTTCACCTGGAATGCTTTTCCAACAGTCTTGAAGGAGTTCCCACATAAGCTGAGCACTTGTTGGCTGCTTTTCCTTCACTCTGCGGTCCAACTCATCCCAAACCATCTCAATTGGGTTGAGGTCGGGTGATTGTGGAGGCCAGGTAATCTGATGCAGCACTCCATCACTCTCCTTCTTGGTCAAATAGCTCTTACACAGCCTGGAGGTGTGTTGGGTCATTGTCCTGTTGAAAAACAAATGATAGTCCCACTAAGCGCAAACCAGATGGGATGGCGTATCGCTGTGGTAGCCATGCTGGTTAAGTGTGCCTTGAATTCTAAATAAATCACAAACAGTGTCACCAGCAAAGCACCCTCACACCTACTCCTCCATGCTTCACGGTGGGAACCACACATGCAGAGATCATCCGTTCACCTACTCTGCGTCTCACAAAGACACGGCGGTTGGAACCAAAAATCGCACATTTCTTATTGGTGTCCTTTAGTAGTGGTTTCTTTGCAGCAATTGGACCATGAAGGCCTGATTCACGCAGTCTCCTCTGAACAGTTGATGTTGAGATGTCTATTACTTGAACTCTGTGAAGCATTTATTTGGGCTGCAATTTCTGAGGCTGGTAACTCTAATGAACTTATCCTCTGCAGCAGAGGTAACTCTGGGTCTTCCTTTCCTGTGGCGGTCCTCATGAGAGCCAGTTTCATCATAGCGCTTGGTGGTTTTTGCGACTGCACTTGAAGAAACTTTAAAAGTTCTGTCTTAAAGTAATTATGGACTGTCGTTTCTCTTTGCTTATTTGAGCTGTTCTTGCCATAATATGGACTTGGTCTTTTACCAATTAGGGCTATCGTCTGTATACCCCCCTACCTTGTCACAACACAACTGATTGTCTCAAACGCATTAAGAAGAAAATAAATTCCACAAATGTACTTTTAACAAGGCACACCTGTTAATTGAAATGCATTCCTCATGAAGTTGGTAGAGAGAATGCCAAGAGTGTTCAAAGCTGTCATCAAGGCAAAGGGTGGCTACTTTGAAGAATCTAAAATAAACACTTTGTTTTTCGTTACTACATGTGTTATTTCATCGTTTTGATGTCTTCACTATTATTCTACAATGTAAAAAATTGTACAAATAGAAAAACCCTTTAATGAGTAGGTGTGTCCAAACTTTTGACTGGTACTGTATATATTCTTTTAAATATATTTTCCTTTATTATTTTCCCCTAACCCTACCATCCCTCCCCTAATTGGAGTAAACTAAATGGGCAACAACTCTTAGGCTTCTACTTCCAGCTTATACATACTATTTACATTTTACGGACACAGTATAGTTTACAATAGTTATCTTTTGTTTGTTTTTAGTCCCATCGTTCAGCTCCATTCAACCTGTCCCATCTATCTCTGAACACCATCCAGTTTTGATTTCTATTTGCCATATATTTTTCAACTGTGCTGTGATGTTTAAAAAAAGTTCTGAACCTTTCTATTCTCATAGATTCTATATATTGTAAATTAAAGATAAACATTTTTGCGAAGAGTATTATGAATCGATTGACTATGACTTTTTAAGTCACCCAGCAGTGCTAGTGGCAGTGTTAGCTCCAGGTAAATGTTACAATTCAAACCATCACTGTTGGAAATACAATTATAGTTAATGCATGCCTTATTGCTTATAACATTGGTCGCGTGGCTGAGATGGGTACAAGCACTGTCCATGACACAAACTGTTCACACCCCTGGTTGGCGGAGAGAATATTTTGCAGGTTTAACGGCACTGTCCATGACACAAACTGTTCACATCCCTCTTGTTGGCGGAGATAACATTTCAGGTTTAACACTTGTTTCCTGCTATTCTATACATTTCCCCATGGGGTGGAGATACAATTTTGCACTTTTAAAGCTAATTTCCTGCAATTCTACAAACTTTGCCATGTCTTATGTGTGTTCATGTGATATCTGAGTGACTAAAAAATTACAACAAAATCAATGGGCTAAAAAACGTTAGCTGACATGGGCTAGTTGATCTGGACATTTCTGACAAGTTATAAATAGCTCTCTAAGGTCTGTAATGACAAGAGGAAAACTGCTGATTTGAAATTGCACCTTGTGCATTGTAATATTACAACTTTCAGGAGTAAGTTGAAAGCCTGACTGAGTTCCTTACAAAAAAATTGATGAAAAAAAAATGTTTACTCCTCGCACCCAGTTTGGGAACCACTGGCCCAGGGCTTTGAGAAGTGTGAATCCTTAGCCCTGAGCTAAAGATTAGCCCATGTTAACAAATGCTTGGTGAACATAGGATAAGCTATCCCAGGGCCAGTCATAGCCTGGGGCTAAGATAGCCCGAGGCTAAGAACAATGCGTGTGAAAAGGCCTAGTGCTATTACCTCTTGTGGTAGACACATAGGCAGGCCAGCCGGGCAATGGTCTCTCCCTGCTGCAGCTCCTCCAGACAGATGGAACACTCACCGCTGTCCTTACTGAGCACATCCGCTGAGAACACCACACACACCACAGCATGACAGTTAGACGTTAAAGTGTCGTCACAAACCCAGGGAAGGGACTTTTAACATACATACTTTCAACACACATTATGCCTGAACTTTCATATAGGCTACTGTTTGTGTAAAACACTGTAATAATAATGTGGTGGGTGCTTATATTTGTCCTATTTCAAACATGTACAAGTGTGTATTAATATGTGCGAATTGGAAATGCGTTTTTTGCATATCCCTCGGAGAGTGGGGTCACAGCCAGGGTCTGCCATTCAAAGGCAACCCTGGAGCAATTAGGATTAAGTGCCTTGTGCAAGGGCACAGACATATTTTTCACCTTGTCGGCTTGGGGATTTGAACTAGCAACGCTCTAACCGCTAGGCTACCTGCCACCATTATAACACCACTGTTTACCATACAATGTCAACCCTCTCTCTGCTCTGAGTTTTTGGTGCACTCATACTCACTGTTGTAAGGGAGAGGTGGAGATGTGAGGCAGCTCAACAGGTGATCCTCAATCTTGCCCCCTGGGAAAGGCTTGGAGCAGAACGGACAGCGGATATCTGGGGATGACATGACAAAAACAACGAAACATAAGAAAAACAAAAGCGGGGAGAAGATCTAATCAACTTGTCCATCATGCATGCCATGTGTCTTTAGTAGATGTTGACATTTGTATTTGTGTGATCTGAGTATCATCCTGACAATGATGAAGTCAGGTCAACTAACTCGTGCTTAGTTTTCCAGTCATCATCATTCCACCAGACCAGACAAGCCAACACGCATAACAAGAGGAGTCCAGCCTCAGGGATGGGACGACATGGGGGAGAGCGTGCCCAGTTGGCCTACATTTCCCCTCCCTCTCTGGCCCTGCTGTCAGCTGTGCCAGCGTGAGGACTTTGACCCATTTCCTAGACTTGCTTGGGGGCTTGGTTTGGGTAGGGGTCTCACTGACATACAACCACTTCTGTCCATCTGTCTGATAAATAATGGAGGCCTACACAGAGATTCTTCCTTGTCAGTCAGGACCTGGCCATTCAAAGAAAGCTTCTTTTAAAAAATAGCTGTGGATTGTTTCAGATCACAAGCTCGTAGGCCTACAGTGAGGGAAAAAAGTATTTGATCCCCTGCTGATTTTGTAAGTTTGCCCACTGACAAAGAAATTATCAGTCTATAATTTTAATGGTAGGTTTATTTGAACAGTGAGAGACAGAATAACAACAAGAAAATCCAGAAAAACGCATGTCAAAAACGTTATAAATTGATTTGCATTTTAAATGAGGGAAATAAGAATTGACCCCTCTGCAAAACATGACTTCGTACTTGGTGGCAAAACCCTTGTTGGCAATCACAGAGGTCAGATGTTTCTTGTAGTTGGCCACCAGGTTTGCACACATCTCAGGAGGGATTTTGTCCCACTCCTCTTTGCAGATCTTCTCCAAGTCATCAAGGTTTCGAGGCTGATGTTTGTCAACTCAAACCTTCAGGTCCCTCCACAGATTTTATATTGGATTAAGGTCTGGAGACTGGCTAGGCCACTCCAGGACCTTAATGTCCGTCTTCGTGAACCACTCCTTTGTTGCCTTGGCCGTGTGTTTTGGGTCATTGTCATGCTGGAATACCCATCCACGACCCATTTTCAATGCCCTGGCTGAGGGAAGGAGGTTCTCACCCAAGATTTGACGGTACATGGCCCCGTCCATCGTCCCCTTGATGCGGTGAAGTTGTCCTGTCCCCTTAGCAGAAAAACACCCCCAAAGCATAATGTTTCCACCTCCATGTTTGACAGTGGGGATGGTGTTCTTGGGGTCATAGGCAGCATTCCTCCTCCTCCAAACACGGCGAATTGAGTTGCTGCCAAAGAGCTCCATTTTGGTCTCATCTGACCACAACACTTTCACCCAATTCTCCTCTGAATCATTCAGATGTTCATTGGCCAACTTCAGACGGCCCTGTATATGTGCTTTCTTGAGCAGGGGGACCTTGCGGGCGCTGCAGGATTTCAGTCCTTCACGGCGTAGTGCATTACCAATTGTTTTCTTGGTGACTATGGTCCCAGCTGCCTTGAGATCATTGACAAGATCCTCCCGTGTAGTTCTGGGCTGATTCCTCACCGTTCTCATGATCATTGCAACTCCACGTGGCCGAGGGAGATTGACTGTTGTCACCTTCTCACCAAGCTGCTTGGCGATGGTCTTGTAGCCCATTCCAGCCTTGTGTAGGTCTACAATCTTGTCCTTGACAACCTTGGAGAGCTCTTTGGTCTTGGCCATGGTGGAGAGTTTGGAATCTGATTGATTGATTGCTTCTGTGGACAGGTGTCTTTTATACAGGTAACAAACTCCCTTTAAGAGTGTGCTCCTAATCTCAGCTCGTTACCTGTCTAAAAGACACCTGGGAGCCAGAAATCTTTCTGATTGAGAGGGGGTCAAATACTTATTTCCCTCATTAAAATGCTAATCAATTTATAACATTTTTCTACATTTTTCTGGATTTTTGTTGTTGTTATTCTGTCTCTCACTGTTCAAATAAACCTACCATTAAAATTATAGACTGATCATTTCTTTGACAGTGGGCAAACATAAAATCAGCAGGGGATCAAATACTTTTTTCCCCTCACTGTATGCCTATTTGGGAAGCTCGCAATTTGGGCAGCGCGCATGGCAATAGGCCTAGATGATTATTGTGTTTCGGCTGTCAGTGAAAAGCATCTAAAATATGTGTGAAGATGTATAATTTTAAAATGTTGACTCAAGACACAAGAAGAACGGAGGGGTGTGTCGAAGAAAAAGGTGAGTCTCTTTCCAGAATGGCTCAGCTGTCTCCCGTCAATTCTTGAGCATTCATTGTTTTATTGTGTGAACTGTTTGCCCTTTGATTGTTTATTTTGATCAATTCCCCATTACATGTCACCAGTAGTAAATGTACAGTTAATCCCCATAATTTGGTTACACTAATTTCTGTTACAGTCATTTACCGATCTCATTCTCGGAGTGGAAACGTTGTTTGCAGAGTTCACAACCTGCTACACAACCTGAAACACGTTTTGGTTTATTTCATAATAATAATTGAGAAGTTGCCAATTTTCATTGTCTTTTGTTTGGAGTGTCCTGTTAATGTTGAGGGAGCCTTACGTTACAGCCTTATTCTAAAATTGATTAAATTGTTTTTTTCCCCCTCATCAATCTACACACAATACCCCATAACACCAAAGCAAAAATAGGTTTTTAGACATTTTTGCAAATGTATTAAATTTAAAACAGAAATATCACATTTGCTTAAGTGTGATTAGAGCCTTGAGTTTTCTTGGGTAGGACGCTACAAGCTTGGCACACCTGTATTTGGGGAGTTTCTCTCGTTCTTCTCTGCAGATCCTCTCAAGCTGTCAGGTTGGATGGGGAGCGTCGCTGCACAGCTATTTTCAGGTCTCTCCAGAGATGTTCGATAAGTTCAAGTCCGCAGTTCTGGCCGGGTTACTCAAGGACATTCAGAGACTTGTCCCAAAGCCCCTCCTGCGTTGTCTTGGCTGTGTGCTTAGGGTCGTTTCCTGTTGGAAGGTGAACCATCGCCCCAGTCTGAGGTCCTGAGCGCTCTGGAGAAGGTTTTCATCAAGGATCTCTCTGTACTTTGCTCCGTTCATCTTTCCCTCGATCCTGACTAGTCTACCAGTCCCTGCCGCTGAAAAACATTCCCACAGCATGATGCTGCCACCACCATGCTTCACCGTAGGGGTGGTGCCAGGTTTCCTCCAGCCATGACGCTTAACATTCAGGCCAAAGAGTTCAATCTTGGTTTCATCAGACCAGAGAATCTTGTTTATCATGGTCTGAGAGTCCTTTAGTGCCTTTTGGCAAACTCCAAGCGGGCTTGGAGTGGCTTCCGTCTGGCCACTGAGGAGTGGCTTCCGTCTGGCCACTCTACCATAAAGGCCTGATTGGTGGAGTGCTGCAGAGATGGCTGTCCTTCTGGAAGGTTCTCCCATCTCCACAGAGGAACTCTGGAGGAACTCTGGAGCTTTGTCAGAGTGACCATCGGCTTCTTGATCACCTCCCTGACCAAGGCCCTTCTCCCCTATTGCTCAGTTTGGCCGGGCGGCCAGCTCTAGGAAGAGTCTTGATGGTTCCAAACGTCTTCCATTTAAGAATGATGGATGCCACTGTGTTTTTGGGGACCTTAAACGCTGCCGAAATGTTTTGGTACCCTTCTCCAGATCTGTGCCTCGACACAATCCTGTCTCGGAGCTCTACGGACAGTTCCTTCGACCTCATGGCTTGGTTTTTGTTCTGACATGCACTGTCAACTGTGGGACCTTCTATAGACAGGTGTGTGCCTTTCCAAATCATGTCCAATCAATTGAATTTACCACAGGTGGACTCCAATCAAGTTGAAGAAACATCTCAAGGATGATCAATGGAAACAGGATGCACCTGAGCTCAATTTCGAGTCTCATAGCAAAGGGTCTGAATACTTATGTAAATAAGGTATTTGTTTTTTAATGAATTTGCAAGAATTTCTAAAAACCTGTTTTTGCTTTGTTATTATGGGGTATTGTGTGTATATTGATGAGGAATGTATTTTATTTTATCTATTTTAGAATAAGGCTGTAATGTAACAAAATGTGGAAAAAGGGAATGGGTCTGAATACTTTCCAAATGCACTGTATATTCAGTGGAAACACTTTTCCCTTGGGCAAAACAGCTGTCTGTCCCGAGCTCACTGGCGCAGGAAACTCTAAGGAATAGGCTAGTTGATAAGATGTTGCAAGTTCGCTAGCGAAAGCTTCGGGCCGGACACAGTTGATTGATTTGATACAAATGTTGCATTTCACTATAGCGATAGTTCAAGTCAAGACAGATCGCAAGGGAGGCAGACAGGCTGAATAGAGAGATGAATGCGATTGAAAGAAACTGAAATTATTATATTTTCTACTGTTTTTATTTGTCTGCTTTATGTATTTTGACTTAGTTGACAATTGAAGTTATAGGCCTACTGCTGCATTGGCCTATAGGCTATGAGTTCCCTGCACTCATTTCTAGCCAATGGATCACGGTGTATCAATGTGTCCATATGGCAGAGGTTAGTGCTCTTGCATTAGTTTTATTTAAACTTTTAGATTATCATTTTAATTCAAATTTGTATGATTAACCATGTGACACTGATTTTAAGAAAGGAAAAGGTTATTATTGAAATGTTCCACGTAAATGTGCATACGAAAATCATAACTGGCACCCAGATCGGTAGAAATGGTAGGATAAATTGTGTGTTTTCCCAAACTTGAAACTCACGCGCTGCCTATTAACTATTTATAAAATAATTGTCTCCATGTTTGCATGGTCGGATTTTGCCTATAGGCTACTTTGAAGCAAGGTAAGACATGCCTCATAATATGAAGTAAAACACGCAGGTTTCAAACAATTAAGTGCATTTTCAAAATGCATACTGCCTCCAGCTCACATGATATCGATTGGGATTCCATCAATTATTTTGCAATGGGATTTTTTCCCCCTTCCGTTCATTTTGGCCGGCAACGGTTTTATTTATCGGCTTTTCATATTATTATTTTTTTTTTGGGGGGGGGGGACAAAAACCGGCAAGAAACCCTGCTTTGCCTATTTTATCTTGTTCTAATATAGGCTTACAGTACTGTTATTGTAAAAAAAATCTCATCTTTGCTTCAGAACAAAAAAAATGCACGTCTTGATTGTTGACCAATGACCAGTCATCAAGATTTGCACGCAAAGGCGGGCGCTTATATCCAAAGATTAGTGACCAGAAAGCACTTGCTTCATTTTCTCCAGATTTGCCTGACAAAACAGAGCTGGCCTACGTTTACATTATCCATATAAAATACAGTTTAGAAATCTACTACAAAGGCATCTTTTCCAAAACAATAATAGGCTGCCTGGCGATTTCATTTATCATTTTCTATATTTCTAAAGATAGCTGTAACATTGCACTGCCTTCAATATTACGGGATGAAGATGTAACATATTCTGGCAAATTAATCACAGTATTTGTGAGGAAGAAAAGGGCTACCCAGATGGCAACAAGTATTCTGCAGGCAGGCGGCCCTCCAAAGTGATAGCGTACGGTGCAGACAGACCATGCTTTCCACCGTATCCTGCAACCTCCACATAATATAGTGTATTCGGAAAGTATTCAGACCCCTTCCCTTTTTCCACATTTTGTGACATTACTGCCTTATTCTAAAATGGATTGAATACATTTTTTCCTTAATCAATCTACACACAATACCCCATAATGACAAAGTGAAAACAGATTTGAGATTTTTGCAAATAAAAAATAAACATATATATATCTATATACCTTATTTACATAAGTATTCAGCCCCTTTGAAATGAGACTCGAAATTGAGCTCAGGTGCATCCTGTTTCCATTGATCATCCTTGAGATGTTTCTACAACTTGATTGGAGTTCACCTGTGGTAAATTCAATTGATTGGACATGATTTGGAAAGGCACACACCTGTCTATATAAGGTCCCACAGTTGACAGTGTATGTCAGAGCAAAAACCAAGCCATGAGGTCGAAGGAATTGTCTGTAGAGCTCCGAGACAGGATTGTGTCGAGGCACAGATGTAAGGATGGGCACCAAAAAATGTCTGCAGCATTGAAGGTCCACAAGAACACAATGGCCTCAATCATTCTTAAATGGAAGAAGTTTGGAATCACCAAGACTATTTCTAGAGCTTGTCGCCCGGCCAAACTGAGCAATCGGGGGAGAAGGGCCTTGGTCAGGGAGGTGACCATGAACCTGATGGTCACTCTGACAGAGCTCCAGAGTTCATCTGTGGAGATGGGAGAATCTTCCAGAAGGACAACCATCTCTGCAGCACTCCACCATTTTATGGTAGAGTGGCCAGATGGAAGCCACTCCTCAGTAAAAGGCACATGACAGCCCGCTTGGAGTTTGCCAAAAGGCACCTAAAGGACTCTCAGACCATGAGAAACAAGATTCTCTGGTCTGATGAAACAAGAGTGAACTCTTTGGCCTGAATGCCAAGCGTCACATCTGGAGGAAACCTGGCGCCATCCCTACGGTGAAGCATGGTGGTGGCAGCATCATACTGTGGGGATGTTTTTCAGGGACTGGGAGACAAGTCAGGATCGAGGGAAAGATGAACGGAGCAAAGTACAGAGAGATCCTTGATGAAAACCTTCTCCAGAGCGCTCAGGACCTCAGACTGGGGCGATGGTTCACCTTCCAACAGGAAAACGACCCTAAGCACACAGCCAAGTCAACGCAGGAGGGGCTTTGGGACAAGTCTCTGAATGTCCTTGAGTAACCCGGCCAGAACTGCGGACTTGAACTTATCGAACATCTCTGGAGAGACCTGAAAATAGCTGTGCAGCGACGCTCCCCATCCAACCTGACAGAGCTTGAGAGGATCTGCAGAGAAGAATAGGATAAACTCCCCAAATACAGGTGTGCCAAGCTTGTAGCGTCATACCCAAGAAGACTCGAGGCTGTAATCACTGCCAAAGGTGCTTCAACAAAGTACTGAGTAAAGGGTTTGAATACTTATGTAAATGTGATATTATTTTATAGATTTTCAAAAATGTCTAAACCTGTTTTTGCCTTGTCAAACATTGAGTCACCATCAGTCGATTTTTGTAAAATTGGCTATTCTGAAAATGCTTCACTGTACCTGTTTGTTCTGTACAACTGTGGTCCTTCTGCAGGGTGCTGAAATTCATACTTCTAATAAAAACTTTTAGCGAACATTTACCGACTTTTTCCTTGTACTATGTAAACTGAGATTAAATTGGGCCCGTGCTATCCCGAATCCTTGGTATGTCCCGACCATAAACCCTAACCAAACCTTAACCCTTAACGTAACCATTTAAAATGTCAACTTCAATGGGGTAGGGACCTCCCAAGCATCCCATCCTCTGTCTCTTTCTAACTACAGAAAACATTTCAGCACAATCTGAGATGGTGGGTGCCGAAATCCTCTTGTGCTTTTTGAGGTGGAACGACGCAGCAGCCTGATTGTCACAACTTAATACAATGGGTTCAGCTGCAAGTCAAGTAGCTTGTATGCACGAGAAGATCATCCCTCCAAGAATTCCGGTTCAGTAGTAAGCCTGGCCAATGTGTCACGTCTCACATATTAGCGTATTAATTATTTTTGCGCCCCAGTCAAATAACGTTACTACCTAGGGGACATTTTAGTGTTTTTGTTCGACCTGACTGTCTGTCTCTGTGATGCAGTGTATGGGAGTCAAATCTGCCAAAAGTGAATAGGAACTGCAACTTAATAAAACAATACATAAAAAAAACACAAAAAGGGTGGTCACTCATAAACTTACTGCCATGTCGGTTGTTGACACGGTAGAGGCCAATCCAAGCCTCCGATACCGGGCGCTGATTGATGCCTCTCATCCGTGCAACTCTTGCGCTGACGTTGCGCCCGGAAGAGTGTCGATTACCGGGTAAACGTTCAGAGAAAGTGCGGTGAGGCACGCGGCCTGTCTCCTCTCCAGGCAGATGTTCCCCGTTGACAGCACCCTCGGGACTGCTATTACTGTCTTCCTCGCGCTTGCATTCGCTGTTGTCTTCCGCTGGTGATGCCTGGCTGATGGATGGGTGGCTGTTGTGGTCGGCGGGGCTTCCATCGGCGCTCGCCTGTTGCCCTATGTCCGAATCGCTGCCCTCTTCCGATCGGCTACGGTTGGTCTCCGAATCGTCAAAACTCCCCAAAAAGTCTATCATAAGACTGGTGGGCCTACTGCAGCGGGGTCGTTGATAGGAATCCCGCTTTATGCCATCTTTGACGAAAGCCGAAGACACTGGGTCCTCTTGTAAACGACTAGCTCTTGTCCCCATCTCATTCGTTGAAAGCAATTACCCACAAAACAGGAGATTTCGCTAAAAATGTGTTATTTTCGAAACGTGTATTTAAATTCTTTCCACGATCTCTTAAATTATCTTTGTTCTATAAATAGAGTATTGTCAAACGGTTCCTTTCCTGTTTCTGAATCGGCTCTAATCTCCACATTCTCCTTTCTTGACGTCCAGGACGTCTGACTGCTCTTTGCAGCAGCTGCCAGCTGAAGTTAATTCAGTTTCTTCTTCTTCATCTTCTTCTTCGTCAATGGGGTTTATCAGCGATTGGCACCCAACGTTGTGGTGCATTACCGCCACCTACTGTACTGGAGTGTGGGCCAGAGACGGAGAAACTAAATCCTACCTGCCAGCCCCGTTGCTCTTAAAAAAGATAACAAAATATTTTAGACTATATCTGACAACGTTCTACTCAATATACTCTTTAAACTAATTTCCTGTATCCCCTTCTCCCTCATACTAGACATCATCCTCTCTCTTTCCCGCTGATACTGCCCACACTGTAGCAAAACATGCTCCACGGTCTCTGTTTCCTAACAATAATCATACTTTCCTGTTGGATGCTTTCCTATCACATTTAATGTCTTATTCAACTGGCTGTGTCCCACCCTTAATCTAGTAAAAATAGCCTCCTCTCTTCTGTCCCTTCCTGCCATCCTCCCCTCCCCGACTTTCTTCTGTACTTGAAATAAATGCCTTCCCTTATTATCTCTATTCCACTGCTCCTGCCATCTCTGCACCATCACTGTATATATCAGTATTTTTGCCTCTGCCTTGCTCATTGAAACTTCAACATCAACATCCCCACTACTAAGTGCTTGTTTAGCCAATTCATCTACCGCCTCGTTCCCCTCGTAAATCTTATCTGTATACCCATCTGTTTAATCCTGCCATGGGTTTGTAGCACCTCATTACATTTACATTTTAGTTATTTAGCAGACGCTCTTATCCAGAGCGACTTACAGTTAGTGCATACATCATTTTTAAAAAATTTCATACTGGCCCCCCGTGGGAATCGAACCCACAACCCTGCCGTTGCAAATGCCATGCTCTACCAACTGAGCTACATCCCTGCCGGCCATTCCCTACCCTACCCTGGACGACGCTGGGCCAATTGTGCGCCGCCCCATGGGTCTCCCGGTCGCGGCTGGCTACGACAGAGCCTGGATTCAAACCAGGATCTCTAGTGGCACAGCTAGCACTGCGATGCAGTGCCTTAGACCACTGCGCCACTCATAAAGCAGGTCTTGTCTACTACGTGAGCTAAAGGACTGGAGATTCATCTTCTTCTTTGTCTTCTTTCGGTTTTATTGCGAACTACGCGCAAAAAGGTGTATCGTCGCTTCAAACTGGACGGGGGTGAAGAAATTCACAAAAGAAAAGTAAATTCCATTATGGGGAAGAGAAAATGTTAATTCATCCACACAAACTACAAAATAATTTGAAAAATAATAATAATATACACTACCAGTCACAAGTTTGGACACACCTACTCAGTCAAGGTTTTTTCTTTATTTTTACTATTTATTACATTGTAGAATGTCATCAACTCGAGTGAGGCCCAACACATGTTCCTTCTGATCAGCAGAAACACAAGAAATCAAAACATGCGTGCTCCTCGTAATCTTCACTGATGGTACTTTACCCAAAGCTTTCATCACCATTTTTTATATTTTCAACGTATTCATCAAGTTGGGGACCAATACTCCCAGAAAACATAGGCTACTAGATACTGTACAATGGGGTATTATCAACACTGGACGTTTTCTCTCCCACAACAATTTTGTTTATTTTTCCATTATTTTGGACAAAAGTCTATTCATCCTTATTTCCACCGCCATCAGATTCAAACTCCATATCCACTTCTGCCATTGACTCATCGCCCGCTGAATGTCAAATGCTAATGCTCTGCCGCCCAGAGTTCAGTTTCCATTTGCGCTTTTAGAATTACATTTACTGTAGGGCAGGCCCCGTTTGAATACTTTTAAGCACACCCTTCCTTCTCCCCTACCTTGAAATATCACTGGTCTGATGACTGGACAGTACATTTGATTTAAATTGTATACCCTCTCCATATCCCTCTCATCTCTGCTAGTTGATGACAGAGGTCGAAGGAGAATGGCAAGAATCGTGCAAGCTAACAGGCGGGCCACAAACAGACAAATAACGGTGCAGTACAACAGTGGTGTGCAGAACGGCATCTCGGAACGCACAACTCGTTGATCCTTGTCACGGATGGGCTATTGCAGCAGATGACCACACCAGGTTCCACTCCTATCAGCTAAAAATAAGAAGAAGCGGCTTCAGTGGGCACGCGATCACCAACACTGGACAATTAAGGAGTGGAAAAACATCACCTGGAACATGACAGCGAGGGGGGTCCATTTCAATATACTGTTGAGGAGCCCCTCCACCCCACAAAAGGGGACATTTTCCCATGGACATTACATGCTGATTGATTATTATTATCCCATTATTGAAAATATTTATTTCATGTACGTTTTCATTTCAGGAAATTATGAAATATATAGGCCATATAAAGTTGGTTTTAAAGCTATAATCCTTAGTTCAAACAATAACGAAGCGGGCCCTGTCAGCCCCTGTTTTGGTAAAAAGCTGAGGGATGTGCCTGGAGAAATGTAACCACTCTCAAATTCATTGACAGAGCTATGGATGCAAGGACTGACCATCCATGATATAAAAATTATAGTTTTAACCATGTTTTGAGGCTATACAGTGTTTGTTTACATTTACATTGTTTACATTGGAGAAAAACAAGCGTATATTTTGGGTTCTGATGGGGTACGACAGTTGAACTAATTAAGCTCATGAGGCATTTATAAGTTATATTCTTTAAGAATCAATAGGTATATATCATTAAGATTGATGTAGCAATTAAGGAATCTAGATTTAACACGTGCGTTAAAAATCTGTCAGTGTGGGTCCCCTGGGCAGCTGGGGCCCGTTTCAATTGAAATCCCTGAAACATATCAAAGCCAGCCCATGGAAATATAGGGCAGGCCTAGTTCTATCACATTATTTTGTCATTTTCTTACCGTTATTAGGAGAGTTGGGAGACTCAACTCTCTTATTGTGACCTATTTATTATATGTTAAAACTTTGATGTCCTCTATTGACAAGATACAGATCTTTATGTCTCCAGGGTTGGATCTCAATATAGCTTCCTCTCCACTTCCGCTTTAATAATGTACACTGATTGAAATAACTGAACAGGTGAAACCAAAATCCCAGTATCCACCATATTGCTTTCACCTGTCCAGTGTTTTCAGGTCTGCGCAGCTGAAGGGAAGGAGCCAAGGAGATGAATCCAAGAGTATTGAGATGCACCCAGTTTTAATACAATGTTGCTGAAAAATATGCTCTTCCCAGTGTAAGTGTATGAAAAGGACTCAAATGAAGTAGGCTTAGTATGCTGCCTGCCAATTATTCTTATCAGCAGTTCATAGATAAATACCAACTTCAGTTTGCAGGTGACGAACGCGCCCTATTTCAGCCAACCTTTCTTGGTGAGGTAAGAGGAACCCACCTTACTGGTTTGATCGCTTGCTTATGTTCTTCAAGAGAAATAGTCAATAAAGGGAGGTGAGGGAAGTAGATTACGTTTTACAGCCTAGCTCAAATAATCAATGGTTAGTGCTATCTGGGACATCCCTACCTTAAACCCTAACCCCTACCCTAACCCTAACCCTAACCTTAACCTTAACCATAACCCTTACCTAAACCTAACCTTAACCGTTCTAAATGTCAGCTTCAATTGGGTGACGTCAGAGTTTGGACGTCCCAAGGATCCCGTTTAGACTTTTCAAAGAATCAAGTCCAGACAAAAAAACAACTATTCGGCACACCCTCCCTTTCAGCAACAACAGCAACTGCTTTTACAATCGGTTCAAAGACGCTTTTACAAAAAAGTTCAAAGACAAACAACCACCGCAGGCAGTCCTAATGGTAAGAGGTGGAGCGCTGCTCTCGCTCGATGCATAGCCGCGGGAAGTAGTTTGGGAGTGGGGGTGCTGCGATTTTTTGAGGGGGAATGAAGAAAAAAAAAAGCCCATGCTGAAGATATCTATTTTGGTCTCTAATACAGGACTAGTAAAGGCCCAGTGCACTACTTTTGTGAACAAATTTAAACTAAATGTATTTAAATGTTTACCAGCATTTGGAACTTGAGTCTGATCATTATCTGTACAAAAAAGTGAATATGATAATAGTTGTGGAATATAAAAATACTTGCTTGATATATGGTTTCCAGTTTCTTTAAATACTTTGCAAATGCAGCTTATTTCTCTGTGAAAACTGAAATGGTCTATTCAATCCTTTTCCATTTTAGTAGACACTTTTATCCAGAACAACTTACAGTAGTGAGTGCATACATTATCATATTTTTTCGAACTGGTCCCCCATGTGACTTCAACCCACAACCCTAGCATTGCAAGCACCATGCTCTACCAACTGAGCCACATCATCACATCACATCACATCATCACAAACTAACTTTGCACCGTTTGAAGTAGCCTAAATGTTTGAGGACAGGGTTTTGTTCTTTCTGGATTCCATTATAATGACAATCGCAGAGAAGGGGACAAGGCAACAACTCTTACAATTCCAACTATTGAATCGTGCAAGATACTGTTCTTAATTATGCAACTACCTTTTCTGCCAAAGCTGAGATGCGGAAAGATGACAGCGCTACAGATGTATATATCGTCCGCTAATACTAGTAAAGGCAAAGTGCACTACTATTGGAATGTTTTTAATATATATATATATATATATATATATATTTTTATAAGCACCCTCAGCACCCCTACTTCCCGCGGCTATGGCTCGAAGGGATGTTGTTGTGAATATTGGAACTATTTTGGTTATAAGTTTAAGTGATGTTTTGATCTGTGGTGTCAGCCGAGATGGATTATTGATTGGGGGAAATACAATGCTGTAAATTGTAAACTGATGGTAAATTG